ACAGATGCTTTGTGATACTAGCTTCCCAATTTAGAATTGGCTGGAAAACAGCTGTGCAGGTGGCTGGATGGCTGGAGGACATGGTCATTCAGGCAGCAGCAGGGAACAACAGCAGGGAGTGGGCCAGTGGCCTTTTGAAAAGGCAACCTGCTTGCTGTAGCTGCGATTAGACCGACTACGTTAAGTTGAAGATATTTTTTTCAGTTTCATTTATCTTTCTGGACTTACACAATGATGAGACTCCAGTGGACTTAGACCTGTGTTGACTTACAATTTTTTTTTTCTGGCTGAGAGTTATTTCATCTGTTATAGTTAATGTGAGACATTGGAGATATTGGTAGGGTGATGTTAACTATTAGTTTCAATCATACTATTCTTCTGTACAGAGTTGGGTTATTGAGAGTGAGAGGCAAGGTATTGTTCATTATGAATTGCAAAACAAAAGAATCTATCGGAACAGGGTTGTGTTTGACCTCAGGGGGGCCAGGGGTGTGGCCAGAATGGGCGTAGCTAGCTCAACATCACTCATGTTGGAGGCATATGTGGTGGCCCGAGTGCCAGCGAAAACCGAGCTCTGTTTTTGCTGGCAGAGAGTTGCAGGACACTATCGTAGCTGAAAACGGAGCTCGTGAGGGCCGCACACAGCCCTCCCAAGCTCCATTTTTGCTAGCAGAGGCACCACGAGCTGGTCTTTCACTGTTTCCAAGGAGGCCCAATGGGTCAGATCTAAGCACCTCACAGGCCGGATCCAGTCCCTGGGTCTTGAATTTGACACCTGTTCTCTAGCACATTATGACCTGATTGCTGTTTAATTTATTTTTCTAAAAAAAATGTTTTCAAATTGGTGGTTTAATATACCATCAGCCATCCAGAAGAATGTTAACAAGGTGCAAAGCCATGTGCATTTTGTTTAATTTTGTTTAATTTTATTTCTATACCGCCCTTCTCCCGAAGGACTCAGGGCGGTGTACAGCCAATTTAAAAACACAAGACACAACAATAATTAAAAATTAAAATAATTAAATAGATTTGGCCGATTTAAAACCCCAAAAATTAAAATACCCCAATTTAAAATTATTATATTGACAGCCCTGCCTGGCGGAACAACAGGGTCTTCAGTGCGCAGCGGAACACCCGGAGGTCGGAAATCTTACGTATTTCCGGGGGCAGTTCACAGGGTTGGGGCTCCCACAGAGAAGGCCCTCCCCCTGGGTGTCGCCAGCCGACATAACTTGGCTGATGGCACCCTGAGGAGACCCTCTCTGTGGGAACGGACTGGTCGGTGGGAGGCTATTGGTGGCAGAAGACGGTCTCGAAGGTATCTGGGTCCTGTGCCATGGAGCGCTTTAAAGGTGGTAACCAACACCTTGAATCGCACCCGGAAGACCACTGGGAGCCAGTGCAGCTCGCGCAGGAGGGGTGTCACGTGGGCACAACGAGGTGCGCCCATAACCACCCGCGCGGCCGCATTCTGGACCAGCTGGAGCCTCCGAGTGCTCTTCAAGGGGAGCCCCATGTAGAGAGCATTACAATAGTCCAGCCGGGAGGTGACAAGGGCATGAGTGACCGTGCGCAAGGTGTCCCGGTCCAGAAAGGGCTGCAACTGGCGGATCAGGCGAACCTGATAAAAGGCCCCCCTGGCCACAGCCGTCATAAGCTCTTCTAAAGACAGCCGTGCGTCCAGGAGGACACCCAGATTGCGAGCCCTCTCTGTGGGGGGCAAAGATTCACCCCCAATAGTCAGCGATGGCACCTGCTGACTATATCGGGACGCCGGTAGCCACAGCCACTCGGTCTTGGAAGGGTTGAGTCTGAGCCTGTTCCTCCCCATCCAGACCCGCACGGCCTCCAGGCAGCGAGACATCACATCAAGGGCATCGTTGGGGTGGTCTGGGGTGGAGATGTACAGCTGAGTATCATCAGCGTACAGGTGACACTTCACCCCAAAACCACGGATGATCTCACCCAGCGGCTTCACATAAATGTTGAACAGAAGAGGCGAGAGGACCGACCCTTGTGGCACTCCCCATGTGAGATGCCTCGAGGTCGACCTCTGCCCCCCTGCCAACACGAACTGCGAGCGGCCGGAGAGGAAGGAAGAGAACCACCGCAAAACGATGCCCCCTACTCCTAACCCCTTCAACTGCTGCAGCATGATACCATGGTCGATGGTATCAAAAGCCGCTGAGAGATCTAATAGGACTAGGACAGAGGAGCAACCCCTGTCCCGGGCCCTCCAGAGATCATCCACCAACGCGACCAATGCCGTTTCTGTGCTGTGCCCCTGCCTGAAGCCCGACTGGTACGGGTCTAGATAGATAGCTTCATCCAGGTGCCTGGGCAGTTGTCGTGCCACCACACTCTCAACAACCTTCGCCACAAAACGAAGGTTGGAGACCGGACGATAGTTAACTAATTCAGCCGGGTCCAGGGAAGGCTTCTTGAGGAGGGGCCTCACCACCGCCTCTTTCAAGGCGGCGGGAAAGGCACCCTCACTCAGAGAAGCAGTTATAATCCCCTGGAGCCAGCCTCGTGTAACTTCCCGGGAGGCCAGTACCAACCAGGAGGGTCCAATAAACATGTGGCGGCACTAATCCTACCCAGAACCCTGTCCACATCCTCGGGAGCCACAGGATCAAACTCCTCCCAGATAATATTCTCAAGACCTACCCTCGTCTCCTCCCCCGGACTCACCCAGTCGGAGTCCAAGCCTTCCCGAATCCGAGCGACTTTATCGTGCAGGAATTGCACAAAATCCTCAGCTCGACCCTGCAAGGGATCCTCCCGCACTCCCCCCCGAAGAAGGGAGTGGGTCACCCTAAACAGGGCAGCTGGGCGGTTCTCTGCCGATACGATAAGAGCGGAAAAATGGTTAGATTTTGCCGCTTTTATCGCCACTAGGTAGGTCTTGATATAAGACCTCACCTGTGTCCAGTCGGAATCAGAATGACTAGTCCTCCAAATGCTCTCTAGGCGTCTTTTCCGACGCTTCATCTCTCTCAGGTCCTCAGAGAACCAAGGAGCCAATTGAGATCGGCATCGGGTCAGAGGCCGCAAAGGCACGACACGATCCAAAGCTCCGGCGGCCGCACTCTCCCAGGCGGCCACCAGCTCTTCAGTCGAGTCATGTGTCAGAGTCTCAGGAAACGGCCCAAGCTCCGTTAGGAACCTTTCTGGATCCATCAGGCGCCTGGGACAGAACCATTTAGTCGGTTCCGTCTCCCTGCGGCAGGGGGAAGCGGTAGGAAAGTCCAAGTGAAGGAGCGAATGATCTGTCCATGACAAGGGTTTAATGTCTAAGTCCCCTCTACCAAGATCATTCAACCACTGACCAGAGATGAAAATCAAGTCCAGAGTGTGTCCTCCTATGTGAGTGGGGCCTTGAACTAACTGGGTCAGGTCCATGGCCGTCATGGAAGCCATGAACTCCCGAGCCACCTCTGACGTCTCACCCGCGGATGGAAGGTTGAAATCCCCCATGACAACAAGTCTGGGGGTATCCACCGCCACCCCGGCGATTTTAAGAATAAAGTAGAATACATAAAATACCTCTTAAATGTTGCTGCCCCACAATCATGTACTTACAGTGCTCCTGGCATGGGTGTCTTCTACACTGCTGTCCATATAGATTTAATGCATTTCATTCTAAAGATTGTGATTGGTGGTGCCTACAGCTGAAGTTCCAATCATGCCCAGTATTGTATAGTTAGTATGTAGAAAGTCTTCTAGTTGGCGTGCACACTGCTCTGCAATTTTTCCCTTTTTCCCCCCTTTCTCTTTGTACAATATATGAACTTTTTTTATTCCTTGAAGCTATGGGCTAACCGGTCAATTGTTTGAACTGATAGCTGCTAAAGAGCACAAAAGAAGATGGTCAGGCTGTGGCCACTTTTTCAGAGACCATTAAAACTTAGAAGTGGAACTGACCTAGAGGAGCTTTTGATTTGTACTCAATGTTGTGGCTATTGCAGTGTCCCTTTGGTCACGTGATCAGAATTTGGATTCTTGACAACTGGATCACAATAACAATGGTTGCAATGTCCTAAGGCCATATGATCAACATTTCCAAACATTCCTGTCTCTTCCCACAAGGAAAGTCAATGGGGAAAGTAGTAAGCCACTCCTAGAAGTTGTTCCCAATGCTTTTTCTCCCGAGGAACCTCCAGAAGGCATGGTGACCTTGTATTTTGTAGCACCCGCCTGCCTAAAAGACCCACCTGCACACTTTCTGACTTCGTAAATTTGAATTCTCCTTTGCAACATAATCTTAGGAGGCTAGACCCACAAGTATATATGTCAGCGTTCCAGAAAACCCCCAACTCCCAGTAAAGATGCAGAAGCAGGCATTTTCCAAAGTTCTCTTTACTAGAATAGGTAAACTGGCACATCTGAGAAATCCTGAATCTGAAAAGCCTGGGCTTTCCTTCAGTAATTCAAAGCTCCCAAAACCATCCCCCTTCTCCCCTTTCGATCACATGCTCCAATCAATGTCCGTTCCGCCTCCACCCAGCCCCTGACCTTGACCGATAGGAAGAACGCTATTATGTCTACCAATTCCCCTCTCCTAAATCCCCCCTCCTACTTTCCCACACTTGAGGAGGTGGCAGCATTGAACCTTCCGGCCTAATATGGCTTCCAAGGCTGACACTATATTTTTTTTGATATAAAGTAGGATATTTCACACCACATCTGTTGAAAGCTATATAGTACCATGCATATTTTTGCAGAGAATTTTATTACCAAGCTTGTTTCTTTTAAGGTAATTCATTAATTAGAAGGAGCAGGTGCAGATATAAGATACCTTCTCTCTCTCTCCCACTCTCTCTCTCTCTCTCTCTCTCTCTCCCTCCCCCCCCCTCTCTCTCTCTCTCTCTCTCTCTCTCTCTCTCTGTGTGTGTGTGTGTGTGTGTGTGTGTGTGTGTGAAATGATCCTGATAAGCCAAAAGTTTTTTTTCCCATTATATTTCATGCTTTCTATATATTTTTTTCTTGTTTTGTAGATAATTGTGAAGAGCCACTGATACTGTCATTACCTGCATCCGCTTTTGAAAGTTCATCCAAACTCTCCAATAACCACAGCCCCAGCTTTGCGAAACTCATCAGACGGGACGGTAAGATCACAGAGTGTCATCATGCTGTCATGGTGCATATTTCTTTAGTGCATTTTTATATAAGCTACCGGCAATGTGTGAAAAGCTTGCATTGTATAGAATGGCTGAAGAATGTATAGAATGTGTGACATTTAGGCAAAGTATGAAATGTCTGTGATATTTTAATATGCTATACACTTTCCCTAGGCATTGTATAAATATAATACCTAGGCATTATGCAGAATGACAAGAACTATTTAGGCAAAGCATGAAAAGAGAGTCATGAAAAGGGTAAGGGTGAGGTTAGGGTTAACTCTCACCCTAACCCTTTATTGAAAAGACATATATGAAAATGAAAGAAGAACTGGAAAATAAAGTACAGGAGTTTCTTACTGAAAAACAACAATAACATAAAAAGACCAGTATTGACCTACTTGTTGCAACAAGGAAGGCTGGAATGGCATTTTAATCGGAGTATTTTATACTTTGCCAATTTGTCTTTTGGCATTGTATAGAATGCCAAGGAAACGTGTGGAAATATTAAGCGTTTCATACTTTGATGTCTTATTTTTTGGCATTCTATAGATTTCCTAGGTGTTCTATAAAATGCCTGATTTTACACATTGACGGTAATGTATACATTCTTGAGCCAATCCAAGTTCTCTTAGCAATTCCCAAAGGTGGGGTTAACTTAACTTTGGAAAAAACTGATGGAAAGAGAAAGAAACTGAAGAACAATAGGGTCGATTATGAAATTGATCGTAACAATCAGTTGCACATAGTTTGAAACATCTTTATTTTTTTCTAATCCTTTTCTGCATTCTTTTACTAGTATGGAAGATAACCAACATTTGTTCCACACTGCCTTGGATTAGCAGTAACTATTTCTCACTCCTCACAGCTTCCTAATCCTAGGAAGTTCGGATAACATTGATGAGGAAAGGAAAAAATTAATAGGCTTTTTCTACGTGACCAAAATTGTGTTGAGAAGGAGAAAGAGCTCTTATGTCACTAAAACAAAATTTAAAGCAGTGGTGGGCTGCTGCCAGTTCGGACCGGTTTAGGCAAACTGGTAGTTCTGATGATCAGCTGACCCTGCCCCCCCGCCCCTGCCCTATCCTGTCCTATATTTCCTTCTTTCTGGCTCAGCTGATTTGCATGGCACAGCTGATTTCCGTGCCTCCGCTGTTCTACTTATTGGGGCTGCCTTAGAAGGTAAGCAGCTGAGCTTCAAATTGCTCTATTTTGAACACTGTGCGCAAGCGCATTAGGCCCCTGTGCACTCACAGAAATGGTTGTTAAACTGGTTGCTGCCCACCACCTGTTTAAAAGCAATCTGTTCACAACTGATTAAGGAATAACTATTACAGTCTCAAAGTCAATGGAAATTTTCCATTAACCATATCACAATATTTCACCTGTCTCCTGGATATCTTACCTAGATTTCTGCCAGTTTCTTTTTTAGGATGTGTCCTCTTTTGTTAGTCTAATAACTTTATGTGAAGGAATGGATCCTTTGTAGGGATTTTCTTACAGATCACACATTCAATGCCTTACTGAAGTACTGATAGCTACCTGACTCTATCTTATTCTATGTTTGCTGCTTATTAGTCTGAATTATTACATGTATATGGCTGTGCACATATTAATAATATCAGACTAATATTCATATCAGATGAATCCATGAAAGATGAAGATGTCCTCATTGAAGGTTATATAGGTCAGTGATGGCGAACATTTTCAGCACCGAGTGCCAAAAAGGAAGTGCTTTGTGTGCATGCGTGCTTTGTGTTTGGCTACTATTTTGGTTTTTTATCAAGATGTATTCATCTCCTGATGAACTCAGAAGAATCATTTGGTGATATCTGGAAACTGGTATGACAACCTGAGCTCTAGGGAAATATCTTGAGTGGTGACAGTGAGCTTATCCAGTTGCACAACAGACAGCTTCTCTTAGCCAACATTAGCTGCATTTAGTCCAAAATCAGGCTGCTCCAAGATTCATGTTATGCTCCGTGCATTCATTTCCAACTGGCACTTGGGTGAAAGCAATGATCCAGAATGTGGATTGATCACCATACTCCGTCAGTTGTCATCTGTGTTGAGCGAATATGCAATGCCTAATCACAAACTGGAACCTATTTTAGTAGCTCAGTTGTTTTTAATGATACCCAAAATATTTGTTGTAGGCATTTCAGATATATTAGGAATCAAAGTCTTTCAGACATCATAACCAGAGTCCACAATATCTTTATATTTATTTGGAGGCAGCAAATACATATGGTTATCATCAGTGGTGGGATTCAAGTAATTTAACAACCAGTTCTCTGCCCTAATGATTTCTTCCAACAACCAGTCTGCCAAACTGCTCAGAAAGTTAACAACCGGTTCTCCCGAAGTGGTGCGAACTGGCTGAATCCCACCACTGGTTATCATACTAGAAAGAAACATTAATTAAAATCAGAAAAGCAAAATCATTTTTGCCGGTTTTAATTATGAAGAAACTTAGCTTATCACAGCTGAGAGATAATAGCTTCCATTATTAACAAGTTTCCTGCTACATCGATCTGAAGAGATCAGATGGTAAAGATCTTCAGTCCAGTTTAGTTTAGGGTAGAACAAAAAAGTTTGTAAGACTAAATAGCTCTTGGTTTAGTTGGAATGTTTTTGTGTGCAATGTTATGGTCTCAGGCATAAATGGTTAAAATCCAGAGTTTCTCGTGAATTCCAAACTAGGTAGACACTTTATTCAAAAACAATATGCTGTTAAATGTCTACTTTCTAGTAGATTCATTTAAAAAGATCAATTGCCTTAATGAGATTAAGTCTTCTTGTGATGGTCTAGGTGGCTATAAGCAGAGGCTAACAGGCTACACAATTTTACAGATGGGAACAGTTGAGAAGGAAATTTATTAGAGTCTTCAGTAGCTATATCGATTGCCTCTCAGTTGCAGTTCCCCAATTGTAATGCAATCATGTTTTTATTATTTAGTTATTAACTGAAGGGTGATTTTTTTTGCCATGCATTGGCAAGATTCTCTGGATGATTTATATTAAAAAAAATAAAATACAGTTATACTATGATTTTGTAACATATTTGAAATACAAATGTAAGTATCTCGAATAGTAGGGTTTAAGGTTTAAGGTTGTGCTTAGAAGTTTGGTTTTGGTGACTCGGTGTGGTGTTTCCAAATAGCTGAACAATGGAATTTAATGAAACAAAGTCTGTTGTGGGTAGATGTCATGGATCCACCCAAGACCCCTCTACAGATGTGACTTCAGAGGAGGAGGGTGAGTTTGAGTCTGTAGAAGAAAGTGTGGAGCCAGTATTGGTCAGGACTGGGACTGAGAGAATGCTAGCCTGATAGAGCAGTCTCAGGTGATCTAAGGACACATAGAGCAGAGAGGAGACAGGCACAACACTGGTCAGCTAGACTACTCATGAGGAGGCAACCTTACCTCTCATGAAGGGCTGCACCACCTTGCCTACTTAGCCCTGACCTGAGGACTTGAGCGTTGCTGGAGCAACATTCCCAGTTCTGTGCCTTTTGTCCTTGTGCTGTGTTTCCTGGTCAGTTTGACTCCTGGCCTGCTTTCCTGGACTTTGTGTGTTCCTATTGGACTTGGTTACCCAGTGTCTCTTGCTGTACTGAGCTTGGAATCTGGACCTGTGCAACAGGGGTGCTTTCTGAGGACCTGTTTGTGGTGGTGGTGGGGGTTGAATAATCATCTGTAGAACTCTTGCTATATATGCATGTGTGTGTGGGGAGCAAGGAAGCACACTAGGAGACTGTAATACAGGGGTGATAACTATGATCCTTATATGATCTCTGGATTTCAGCTCCCCGAATTTCTGACCTAGCATGGATTCAAAATTTCCATGTAATAACCAGAGTTGAGCGTGAATCAAGGAAGCCATTTCCACAGCATCATGCTGTTCCTTCCAACAGACATTTAGGAACTAAATCTGGATTCAGTACCTTAAATCAACCAATGTGATAAGGTGCCTCACTATCTTCTCAACACTTTTTATAAAACTTTAGCAGAACTTGGAAATGGAAATATTCTGTGAACCAGAATATTATATGTTCGCATCTTGTAGTTGGCAAATTACTTCTTCTACAGATGTACTTAATAATTATGAAAAGGTCCATAGCAAATGGTTCATTATTTTCTCCATTTTTAGTTAGACCAAAGATGCTCAGTTCTGAATCTGCTAGTTGTGATAACTTCTTTTGTTCAAAAGTATGACTAATTGCTTCTCTTGGTCCTGAGGATAGAAAACATTATATGGAATAGAAATGGTGAAATTGGACATTGTTCCTTTCCTTTAATTTAAAACAGCAGATTTTGACTTTCAGTTTTCCAATGTTTGAAGCATTTCCCCTCTATTAAAAGTATTCTTTCAAAAGGTCACCATTGGAGCAGACTGCTTTCATCATAAATGGAAAATAGGTTTTGTCATACTCAAATTAGTTTTTACAAATCTGAGTATATTCTCTTTAACTTCACAGATTAGACAGTATGATAGAATCAAACAGGTAAAGCCCATTTTTAAATAATGTTTAGATTCAAGGGGTTGGGTTGATATGTTGGCTGCTTTATATCTCTTATTATTTAGACTAGTCTGGGAGTTTTGATGAAATGTAACAAAAGACTCAGAAATAGTGTACCTTCCTTAAATGGAAAGGATTGAAACTTTTTAGGATACATTCTAAAAAGTATATCTTTATTTGAGAATATAGATGCAAAATAGAAATTGGTGTGTAGATTTGAATTAATACTATCAGATCTGATCTGTAAAAGTCAGTTCAACATTCAGATGGCGGCCAAGATATAAAACTACTGACTTTTGGCTTCAGAATCAGAATAGAGCTGGAAGGGACCTTGGAGATCTTCTAGTCCAGCCCCCTGCCTAAGCAGGAGATCCTATACCATTTCAGACAAGTGACTGCTCAGTCTCTTCTTAAAAACCACCAGTGATGAAGCACCCACAATGTCTGAAGGCAAGCTGTTCCATT